TTTTTTTTTTGCATCTATTAGGTGATTTCCGGTTTCTGAATTAGTATTGAGGGAAAGAAAAGGTCTTTTGCGAATTGAAAATTCGTCCGAGGAAAAGGAATTATGTATAGACCGATGTCGTCATACTTCTTAACATTTTGAAAGATCCCGGTTTTTAAATACAGTAATGGTGGAAAAAGGAACATTTCGAGTCGAAGTAATAACTCGAGAATGAAATACCGTCGATTTTTAAGACATTATGAATGTTGACAGATTAATTGGCTCTATCGTGTTCAGAGCATAATTATTCATCAATTTTTGTAGAAAAAAAGTCGAGATGAATCCAAAGGTGCTGGCAGCGGGGTGGAAATCATGGTGAATGAGCCTTATACGGATGGACCTGGGCCAAATGGAACTGGTCAATACACCAGGAAAATATATCACATCGGATCCCATTTACCAGGTGCACATTTTTGAAATTCTCATTTCCGTATCTCGCGATACTCCGAAACATTTGGGCCAAATATCTAAAAAAAATATCGAGCTGTTGCGAAGATTTGCGAAACTTTACTTGGACTGCACATTTTTATTCCAGGCTGGCTGAAGAGCTTAATGCCCAAATCAGCCCTGATTGTGGAAGAAGAAGCTTGGAATGCTTATCCGTATACGAAAACCAAGTACAAATGCCCGTTTGTGGAGCGTTTTACGCTCGAAATAGAGACTTATTATTTCAACGACGATGGGAGCCAGGAAAATGTGTTCAATTTGTCAAGATCCGAGCTTCGGGAACGAGCAGTTGGTAAGTCCACTTTGGAATTCTGTATATTTCACAAAAATCTAAAATTTTCGACACGACTGGCATTTTTGTAGTGCGTCAAAAGATGTGCAGTTCGATTCATTTCAATTAATTTTTGTAAGGGTGAAGTGACGTGATAGATAATAATTAATCTTCGAGCCTTTATGATCAAAGGAAGAAAATTGTATGAATATTTATTTTCTTTTACTTGACTGATATTTGGATCGTGTTGACAGATGTAATAGATATTGTGAAAGACGAAACGGCGGATTGTGTCCCTGAAGAAGATCCGCGGTGTTTTCGCTCTGAAAAGACCGGAAGAGGTCCCTTGGAAGACAATTGGATTCAAGAATATTGGCGAGAATGTAAAGGATCCGATGTGCCTTTGAGCAGCGGGAAGGCATTAATGTGTGCTTATAAGCTGTGCAAAGTTGAATTCAAATACTGGGGGATGCAAACCAAAATTGAACACTTCATCGACGATGTTGGTAAGCGTTCATTTACCAGTCGCTTCACTTTTTTTTTTAATTTTAAATTATATTCAATGTTGGCTTCTTTCCCGTGAATAATTTTAATATTCGATTTTACGTTCGAGGAATTTCCCTTTTAAAACCTATTCACTTACTTCCCTTGCAATTTGACCCACAGTATTTATAAGAAGCCCCATACAGTACAGTAGCATACTGTAGCACAGCTCTTGAACACCTTCAGCCATTGTCAGTACAGGTACCGGTATTCAAAACTTACTTTCAATCTGGAGCTATCGAAATAGAATATAGTTAAGCCCACGAGGGATTCAAGCTGCTAATTTTCTGGAATTGGAGTCTTGGGTATTACAAATGTTTCTCCCGAATTCAGCGTCAGCATTACTCCTTTGTAACTGTCTGAAAATTGAATTTTTTTATATCACACCATTGCGAAACAGGAGTACCTCGAAGTTATGCTCTGGCTTATTTTTTAAATGAAATTTTGATTCAGCGATTGTCTT